TTGTGTATAAAGAATCGTCCTGTGTTTAAAAAAAAAAAAAAACTCTCAAATGTGTGGAGGAGTAGAACTTAAATATTATAACTGTTCATAAACATTTCGGTATTATGAAAGCACATTAAATTTAAAACTGTTTCAGTATTATGAAAGCACATTAAATCCTTTAACAGATGTTCAACAGCAGAAGAATGTTTCTCTTGCATATAAACAAAACAAAGTAAAACAAAAAAAAAACACTTTTAGTGTTAAGCCGCGATTCCTGACGAAATCTCTTATGTTTTGGACAGAGCAACTAGCCAAAACAGGATGCTCAGCATTCTTGCACTGTTGGCATTCCATTTTAGTGGCGAGTTTACACCTTGCGATGTGGTTCCGGAAATGTCTCATTACTGCAGCGATTTCTGTTGGAGACCATATTTGTTTTTGTTTCCTTCTTGCATCATCCCTTTCAGGAGAATTATCGCGAATCACTACAAAAGAGGAAAACAGGTTCTTGAACCCTGGGGTGAACACCATGATGGCCAGATCTCTCTCTTCTCCCAACCAGCCACACTCTTACCAACCCTTGTCTTTAGTCGAGCCTTCTTGTACAGATTACTAATCCTTTGAGTAAAAAATGATGGGCTGCTGTTTTTGTTAAACATGTTTTTGCCTGTTTGTTTTAGTAAGGGGAGCAATTTATTCATTATATTTGGTTGTGTTGTTACCATCCTTGTAAGATTGTGTTTTAAATGTTGGCCCATCCTGATGTTACATTCAACTAAAATATCAATTTGTAAATAAAACAATGAAATTAAAGATCGGATTTGTGTGTTATGGTTGCTTAGTTCCTGATATAGATTAGTAGTTAAAAACCTTTTATTCTTGTCATACCTTGAAATGAGCCTCCTAAGGCAGAGTCAACATCTGTAAATGAAAAAACCAAATATAACAAACAGTAGTAGTGCTTGGTTTGCATTAATTTAATCAAACCTCAATGGAGATGCTGGCTGAGTGAGGTAGATGCTCATACCATCTGAGGTGCCTGGAGGTTTCTCAACGGGCACCTAGCCTTTTTCATTCCTGCGGTATGAATAGTATGGCTCAATATAAAGGTTCTGATGGCGCATGCTCAAACATTTCATAAATAGTTTTACACCTTTAAGGTGAAACTGTAAATATCTGTAAATTTTTTGCAAACAAAAACGGTTAAAATGATTGATCTACATGACTCCCTACAGTGTTTTTTCTGTATATGCTTCTGTGCTTTTACCATGTTGTTCATGCTCTTCCCTCCTGCTCCGCTCTTTGTCTTTCCTACCACAATCTTTGTTTAAAAAAACAAACAAACAAACAGAAAAAAAATGTGTTAATCCTAAATTCAAAAACTTGCCATTTACACAATATAATAAATCAAGCAATCAAAACAAAAGCAATCTAAACTGCATTTTAAACATTTTCACACTCATTTTAGTTTCAAAATGTGTTAGTATATATATTTAAAATGGGTTTGAAGTTGAAAACTTTTTATTCTTGTCAAACCTTGAGATGGGCCTCCAAAGGCAGAGTCAATATCTGTGAATAGAAAAATAAAATACGATAACAAACAGTAGTAGTGTTTGGTATATATGAAATGAATCCAGACCATGCTGCTTCAGTAACAGCTCTGAACTATTATAATGTTTTGGTGCATTGTATGGTACACTTCTTACGCTGACTTCACGGATTTGATGTTTGTATGTTTATGTGCTTTTACCTGTTTCTGTTTGTGTCTGTGGATGTATCTCCTCTGTCTTCACTTTGCTCAGAATCAGTAATGTCTAAATTACTGTAACAAAAAATAAACATTCAGAGTATCAAGTAAGTTTAACTTTGCAAATGTTAGAATAAAAAAAATAGGACATAGTGATCACTCTGATGTTTGATGAATATTACATTGTTAAAGATCTAAGGTCTGTATGCTAGGGATTATCTTTAGGATATGAATACTTGAATCTTTACAGTAAACTTGAAAATGTCATTTGTAACAACTTTTTACCTTCAATTTCAATCTCTTCTAGTGTTTTGCCCTGAAGATTTGTAAGTGAATCTTTCTCCATGGCAAGTAGTAGTTTAGATATTTTGGCCAGCTGGGTTGTAGCCTCCGGAAGCCTGTAATACTCTCTGTGGACACGAATATCGTGGCCCAAAAAGTCAGGAACTTGGTCCAACTCATGGTTTTTGAGGTTCAGGACCTGTGACAAAGTTGCAACATGTTTGCGTAACTATGTCGACCGGAGGAGTTCAGGGTTTTGTGCACCACACTCATTTTCATAAATTCTCAGACAGTCTTGTCCTCGATATGGAGTCAAACAGTTGGGTCTTGCAAACAGGAATGTGTTTTCTTCTGGGACTCCACACTCTGTTCTTCTGCTTATGAGGTGTGTTAAGGCATCAACCATGTCTGGCGATAACAAGACTGCAACTTTTCGCCCCCTTTAACCCCTAATTTCCACCCGACTGAAATGTGCACAAAGTTTTTGTTCAAATTTTGTTAGCCCAACAGCAACATCTTTATGTAGGGCAGCTGTGTCACTCTCTAGAAAACCTTTCAGTTGCATCTTTGCAACCTCTCCTCCACGTTGCGTTTTTAATATTTTTTTTAGACCAGGATCCCAGTATAACTGATTTTCAGCATCAAAAAACGCTAAAATACAGAGATTGAAAAAAGCTGTTAGCTAAATGCAACATGCAACATGGCAAATCAAAAGATTTTTCACCTATAGGTGCAAAAATGATAGCATTTTTTTACTTGGATTTCATTAACTAGCTGCGTAACAAGAACATGACCAATTTAAGTTTATAGGACAACTAAACTATCAGTTTAAACAAAAATTTACCGTCAACTACAGACGTTGCATCCATCGATTCCGCCATGTTTCTCATTGACACGCCCCCAACTCGGAAACTCGCGGCTTAAAGAAAATTTCGAGTTTCCCACTCGTAATAACGACTTTGTGGTGGTGTTCATGTGCATTCAACTCGTAAATAAAAATCTATCCGACATGACTTGAATGCACCATTATTCAGAGAGTGGCCCAACTGGAGGGCAAGGCTTGGAGTCTGGTATGAGTGTTTTTCATCATCAAACCCAGATACCCTCTTGACAGCCTGGATAACCACATTAAAATTCGCAGGTCTTACAGCATCTTCAAGAGTCTGTACTGAAAATTATTTTCTCAGGATCAGCAGAAGTCTTCCAACTTCCCGGAGCTTCTGTCGAATATAGTCATATTTGGTGGGATCCTGTCCATGTTTATTGAAAAATGACTGGGCCAGCTGAAGAATGGAAAAGTCACTCCGCACAGCAGCAGAGATGTCATCATCTTTCATCACAGTTAACAGCTTCCAAACACCCTGTGATATTTGTTGACAGAGAGCTGTATTAGACATTGTTGCAAAAGACAAGACACTAGTTCTTCCTGGCTCTGCCTGATCTTCCACTGGTTTGGAAAGACAATTTCGAACATGTCACCAGAGATCCCTCCGGAGAAACATTGCATGGCAATACATACAATGCACATAATCTTTTGAATTATATATTTTCTTTGGTTTACGTCTGAGTTTTAACAGTCCATTCCCACTCGCTAAAACATCTGCATTGTGTTCGTAGTTCCCTTTGTTCCACAGTTTGTTCAGAAGTTTTTGACGTTCTTTGGAGTGTTTTGGCAATGCCAAAGCCCGAGCAACATCGACATTTGATTTCTCATGGGTTTTTAAGTGGCGTGTAAATTTTGACTGCGGTTTTCCACAAATGTAGAAGTAATTCTTCTTGCTTACTGAAGAAGATATATTTGAAGATTGTATACATGGATCTTCCCCTGCTCTTGTGATATTCTCAACAGATGTGTCTTCACTATTACCAACGCTTGCTTCGTTGTGAACTTCCGATACTTGTACTTGCTTGGCTTTCATACAAGACCTTTCAAGCTGTGCTGTGCAGACTGGTTTCTTTTGGGTGTGAATCTTTACCTATGATGCTTTCTTGGCATGGTCTGCCATTTTGAATTTCTGCAGTAGATTCAAAGCAGGACACTTTAGTAGTCGGCATGTTTAAGAGTTGTTCAGGACATTCATTTTCTGAAGACACTATGCCCACTTCTGAACTGTCTGAAACAGAATTAGGTACATAGTCCTGATCGGATAAGTTCTCACTGGAAAATTCTTCTTCAGAATCCTGAAATGGCAAAAATATTATTTGTACATATTCAAAAAGTTTACTTCTAAGGAAAAATTACTCCAAAAAAAAAATTTTTTTTTAAATCTGACTATTCGATAAATCACACTTACTGATGTTAATGGGTCAGGTTTGGGCTTCACATTTTTCTTGTAGCAAGTTTTATGCCAGAAGCAGGAACAAACTAGATTGAGGATATAATAAACAAGGTTGGTTCCATTTGATTCAAGAAAAGTTGCTTTAAAAAGTGATAAATAACAGAGCGATAGAGAATTAGTGTGTTCGAAAGTGCGGCTAGAAGATGGAAGAGAATAGAGAAAAGAAAACGGAGGAAAAAAAGTAAGAAAAATTAGTAAACTAAGAATGAAGGGGGATTAAGTAGGAGAGCATCCAACAGAACTTCAGGGAGAGATTGAGAAATATGAACAGATACAATTACACCGGTAGATAGGTGGAGAAAGAAAGAAAGAAAGAAAGAAAGAAAGAAAGAAAGAACAATAATTTGGGGTTTTGATGGTACAAAATCATTTAAATAAGAATCTTTTAATTTTCAGAACAAAGACTTACCCTTACATCTCACACCAATCCACTTAAAAGTGGAAAAAAGTCCACTGAAGCATTCACATTTATTCAAGCTTGATACTACTGAGGAGACTAGGTCATGTTTACAATTCTGTTGGGAAGAATTTATTAGAAGAGATTATATTACAATAGTTAGATGTTTAAACACATTATTTTAATAGTTTCACAATAACAAAATGTATAGATCACAAACGTATTGCACTGTAATGCATAGTATGACACCAGCAGTAAGTATGAGGACATACGACACACAAACCATGGTCCAATGAACTTCTGTCCATCCCCCACAATACACAACATGACACCAGCAGTAAGTATGGGGACATACGACACACAAACCATGTTCCAATTTGGCAAGAGACGCATTTAACTTCTGCCCATCCCCCACAATACACAACATGACAGCAGCACTAAGTATAGGGACATACGACACACAAACCATGTTCCAATTTGGCAAGAGACACACTTAACTTCTGCCCATCCCCCACAATACACAACATGACAGCAGCAGTAAGTATGGGGACATACGACACACAAACCATGGGAGAGAAGGGAGGGTTGTACCAGTGATTTGCTCAGCAGTCCGGACTATCCTCTGTAGTCTTCTGAGGTCAGATTTGGTAGCTGAGCTGAACCAGACAGTTATAGAAGTGCAGAGGATGGATTCAATGATGGCAGAGTAGAACTGTTTCAGCAGCTCCTGTGGCAGGTTGAACTTCCTCAGCTGGCGAAGGAAGTACAACCTCTGCTGGGCCTTTTTCACAATGGAGTCAGTGTGTGTGTATATACAATTTTTAACAATATGTTAGCCAATGTATTTTTAAGCTATGATTCTCCCACGATTCTGAAAACAAAACAGACAACCAAACAAAATATGTAATTTACTTGAGTTTCTGACAAAATGTTTTATTAATGTTATAGTAAATTAGTCTATTTAAAAATATTTATTAATTTAAACGAATTTAACCTAATTATGTAAAAAAATCATTTTAAATAAATGAAGACTTGTTTCATTTTGAATCTCTTGAATGAATGATTCAGACATCAAATACACTCACTGTTCACCACCTACGGGAATAATGTAACATATACAATCATTATTTGCAGTGTATCATTACTTTCAAAGACCCATTCTGATCGCGGCTCCCGCAACATCAGAGTCTACATCCGGACTTTAAACTTTTATCAATACTTTCGTTATTATTTAATGTTTGCAACACAGAAATGTAGCCTACTGTGTAAGTAGACTGTTTGTGAAGCTGTTTCAAACAAAGCTTTACATGATGAGCGCTGCTCTCTCTGGATCAGCGGCTGCGCAAAAGCAGGTTTAAATATTCCGATGTGATTGTGATTTAAAAGGTTAAATAGACATAGTAGAATCACCGTCATTTAGGAATAAGATCGCGTGTGTTTGAATCAAGAGCGCAATCTTTTAATGATAATACGTGCATACTATAGGCTATATAAGGCTCATATGTATTTTTCTAGCCCATGTCATATTTGTACCAGACCTTAAAAATAACCCGGCCCAGGTCCGGGTGGCCCCCACCGCTTCCGTGACCCATGCACATACACACAAACAAACAAACACACACACACACACTCAAACTGATGGTGACAAGAACTTTGTTTCACATTTGAGGGAGGGCTGTTAAGATCTATCAGCATACAACATATTAATAGAATGGATAGTTATTAGATGAGGACCCTGAGATCAAACAAATGAAGTTATTG